TAAAAGCCCAAAGAATCCAAATACTTCAAGCAGGGATTTCGGATAAAATGTCAATGTGAGCAGGTCAAAAGCTGCCTACCCTACCCAAGCACTAGGAAGAGCAAATGGAGCTTGGTCACCTCAACTCTTTGGGAACCATTACCGTCTGACCAGCAACCCCACTGCAGGTGTGCCCGTCCCCACAGAGGCTTGAAAGCATGGGCTCAGGCTGCTCTTGGTCGACTGCCCTGTCCGCATCAGTCACAAGGAGAAACAGCGTTCTGAGTGCCCATGAACAGGGATGACCAAGAACATGCAACGAATTCTCGTGGGCCATAAAGAGAAATGCAGCTCTGATACGGGCTGTGCTGTGAACGGACTGTGACACATTGTGGTGAGTGAAACAAGTGCAAAAGAGTAAGTATCTTATTATCCCGTTATGTTACATAGTCAGAATAGGAAAGTGCACAGAGACCAGAGTGTCATGGTTACCAGGGGGGTGTGGAAGGGGGAGATGGGGAGTCAGTGTTTAGAGGTACTGCGTTTCTGTTAAGGTTGACAAAAAGACTTGGAAATGGAGAGCAATGATGGTAACTACGTGGTGAATGCAATTACTGTCACTGTGACATTAATTAATGACGTGTGTAATACCACTGCACATAAAAATGGCTGAAATGAAAGCTGTGCTGTTACAAACGCATATATTCTACCACAATGGAGTACAATTAAAAAATAAAACAATATTTAAAATATATATTTCAAAGATTCTAGCACACATGGGTCGTCACCAGTCAACTTCAACTCAATGGCAAGTGTTGGGTTAGATTAGTAAACTGACCCAGAGATTAGCAACAGACTAAAAGAAACAAGCTAACTGAAAAGGAAAACAAATCCATATAGTGTAGGAGAAGTGACATTTTCCACAAAAATGTTACAGCAATTTAAGTACGAGTTTGAAAGCACACCTTTCATTTTAAAACAGTTCACAAAGTCTTCGAGAGATTTGATGGATAGCATTTTTTCTAGTTCATAATAGATAAAAATAAATTCTTTAGAACAGGTTTCAGTTTCATCTCTGGAGAAAACCATACATGATACAGAAAGGCACCTGATGAGGTTATTCTTTTACCCTAAGTCGTGCCCAAAGAAATTATCCTTTAAAGTCAAGAAAAATTAGTGGTAAAATTTCTGAATAAAAATTGAGACTTTATCACATCCATATTAAAAGTTTCCCCCTACACCATTTAGTCATCAAAACTGTGGTTTCAAATACAGAAATACCTATGATGACATTTATTAATTATCGTCTCTTCTCATAAGAACAGTACACTGTCATATGACAAAGGTAAGTGCAGAACCTCTGGCTAACAACAGAACATGAGAGGGCAGGAGCGCAGGACTGGAAAGCAGGAGTGCAATGTTACCCTGCACCGTCTTCTCACCACTGCGAGGATCACAGGGGAGCGAACCCCGTCAGGTTGAGAGAGCTCACGAGACAGAGGACTACAAGTGCTGAAAGGAAAAGGTTTGCTTTCATAAATCTGCTATGGAACTTTCCACCAGTGTGAAACCGACCGACAGCTTTTTCTCCTCCTATTTCTACCCCAGTTGGGGCAAAATCGTGCAGGCATCTTCAACTTGCTTCTTGGCTCTGCGGAGATCTCCAAGTGCTCGTCACCCATCTTCCCGTCTCTACCTGCTCATTTGCTTTTGAATCTCTTTTATATCAGAAAAGAAATGGACACAAGACACACTAAGTAATCCTGTTTG